TTTGAAAGATGTGCTGAAGTGGGCATAGATGATAAGAGTGCTGCATTCAGTTTGTTGGAACACATTTCTTTTGTTCTCTGAGTAGTAAGATCCAACGCCTTTGTGTATTGTTACGTACTTTGGGGAAAATCCCCTGGCAGTTGGACTTCGAAAAGAGTAGTCCGCGCTAAAATTTGAGGCAAAAACCTACCCAAAGTATTTCAGCATCTTTACCGGTGCTACGGAGTTTGTGCACCGCGCTGAGATTCTTCAGACTCGGGCTGAATTAGAAATAGAACGGAGCGCATATGGGTTACTAACCCTGTGTCATGATTTTGGTCCAATGTTCAAACAATTAAACTGTATCTTCGACTGTGAAGATGAAGCAGAAGGGGGAGGGCTCGTCAGAAAGGGTGCTTGGATATAGACGTAAACTATTGTAAGGTGGCGAACTGAGCATATGAGAGGAAAAACATTCAATAAAAGCTTTGGCAATTGTAAAGTGAAAGTCCTTTTTACACCAGCGGTTCTCAACCTGTTGGTCGCGACACTTTTTGGGTCGAACGACCCTTTCTCAGAGGTCACCAAACACTATCGGAAACCACAAATTCCTTGAAGTTATGAAGTAGTGACGAAAATAATTGTATGTTTGGAGGTCCCCACAACACGAGGAACTGTGTTACAGGGTCACGGCATTAGGATGTTTCGGAACCAGTGTTATAGATGTTAGTGGTATACTGTTTTATTGCAGGGTTTGGTATCACAGCCCGCGAACCACATAAAGATAAACACAATAATATACCTCATGGGCAGCAGGCCCGACCAAGATCTATTACTACCACGACCATACCGCCATGTATCTCATTCAACGTTTTATACAACAAAATATTTCATAAATTGAAGAAACTTTTATTCAATAAATCCATGTAACTGGTGAGGCGGCTAGTCACCAGACTGCTGATTGGAAGGTCGTGGGTTCGGGTCCTGACGGAACGGGGCTTTTTAAAAAAATTTACATTGGCTTCCATGTCGACCCAGCCTTGTGTGGGTACCAGAAGCAGTCACTGGAAGTAAGGGCGACCGGCGTAATGTTGCCCGCATTACCCACCAAGTGCCGATTGGTTTATAAAAATATACGTCTGATCCTATATGCCCAATACGCAGTGTAGAGGGTTCTTTAGTTTTACATATCACTGAAGGTAATAAAAGGAATTCTTGCATGTTATATAGAGTTAGCTGTAACATGTTGTAGTGAATCCCGGACAATTAATAGATAAGCCAAATAATTTCATGAGGCCTCAGAAATAGGCTATCATTAAAGAATACTTGGAATACCTTGGAGAACTAAAAGGAGCAGCCCAGATGTTTTGAAAGAGCCGACTGCTCGATGACAACAAACATTAGAAGAAGGAAACTGAAACATGACATGACGACTGGAAAGTCTGTGGGAAAAAAGACAGAGGAAGACAATATGAGAAGTTCCTTCAGTCTTTTTTCGTGGCACGGAGGTTTACACTAAGTGAGGCATGATTTTGAAGATCTTAGATCTTCTTCTGTTTTTTTTTTAGCACAGATCTTTTCAGTGCACATATGTTCCAGTTTTCTTCTCATAACATGACCCATAAATGTTGACTGTACCTTTTGATATTCGTTGTGACGAATGTATGGTTTATGTTATGAGAAGAAAAAACTGGAACATGTGTGCACTTTTAAAACATCTGGAATGCTCTCTTTAATCATCCACGGAATTCTAAAACTCTATTTCATAGGCCACAATAAATGTGCTTGTTTATTTACTGTCTGATTCACAGCCTTATATTAAAACTGGTTCCATACAGCATGACAAACACTGTTCTTTGGCCACTTAATGAGAAGGGAGATAGATAGAACATCGTGACAGCTGGAAAGATCAATGGAAAAAGGGCTAGAGGCAGATCAAGAGAGATGATGCTGGATGGGCTGAAACGATGGCATGGAGTTGACAGTTCCCATGGTGATGATGATATAACATGAAGGATTACTATTTCTAACCTACAGTGACATGGGTTTTTTTTTTTGGGGGGGGGGGGGGGGGGGGCATAAAATGGTCATTTTTATACAATGCAGTTTTAACCTCTAGTTTAGGTTAGTACTAAAGGCGTATGGAACAGAACATTAAAGTTACCTGCAAAAGCAATCCATCCTCATAGCCAGTTGAATTCGAATACCCTGATGTATTGAAAAAGCTGGTAGTGTTAGATGGAGCATTCCTGCTTGGAGCCGCTACAGGTCCACACATACAGACTAAAGCAATTGGCACAGTGGAAAACGAGAAACCGTGAATGACGTAGGCGGCGTGCATAAGCAGAACAATGAAACCTCTCCAGGAAAATATCATCTGCCACAAGTTCTGCTCCGATTCCTTGAGATCCTCCACGGCGGCCTTAGATGGCATTTCATGCTTCTCTGGTAAAGCAAGGTCCTTAAATGTTTCACTAACAATAACAACTGTAGCGACGTTGTCTTTAGTCACTTGTGGCATTATTAAAAATATATTTGTTCCCCATGTTCTGGAGTGAATCGTTGATCCGTGCTCTTATAAATGACGATTTACATTAGAACCTCAAAAAGAAACAATATTCATAATTTTAACGGAATTATAAATTTTTAGAATTAATAGTGAATTTATTGTCCGACATGAGCTCTTACTAAAATAATGAGAGAAAAACCTTAACTTTAGACACGGCTTGAGTGTCTTAAAAGAGCTGCCAGAGTAATAAGATGGTTGACGTGATCAGCATCACACCGGCCGCCTTCACTTCCCGAGACTGCGTCCGGTACGCACTCAACTCTGGGTCGACCTGAGAGTTAGTCATTTTTGAATAAAGTCCGGCTACGCCTGGGATTGAACCCACGACCTTCCGATCCACACCCAAGCGTGTAGCCGCAACGCCACGGTGACACCTAACAAGAAGAAATAAGACAAAAAAAATCAAGGCTGTGATTAAAACAAATTTTACAGTAAATTAAAGAGTAGAAGATCTTCCGTAGCGATCTGACGAGAATAAACTGGTACTAAATGTCATTCCGAAAAAAAAAAATCAAATTAGGACGGGGCAAGTAAAATTAAAAGTTAACAAATCTATATTTTTGTTATAAACCTAATATAGAAAATACCGTATCGTGATCCCTTAACAAGGGCAAAAAGAGCACACGTAGATCACCTTGAGCAAACATAAGAAAGAGCATGCAGACGATCGTTACATCTCTGGCAAACGCCTCGATGAGATCACAGGAGAAATAAAAGACTAGGAATATAGTAAACTTAAACATTAAAATGCATTCCGAACACAAATGTCGCATTATTTACATGCATAATTATTGAGTTTAGGCATTTGGCCTGGCACCCTGAAAGTTTAGTTTGGATTTTAAATTGACTGCTCCATTTGGTTCGCGACTGCAGGTGTGTCACAGACGTTCAGTCTGTGTTTACGAGGGAAAGTCACAAATGGTTATAAGATGGTATGAAAATATAGTTGGTGGTTTCTAAAAGTGTAATTAAGTGACAGCAACATCAAACTTTATGTCTGCGCTGTGTTTGGCGCTAGGTGTTACATGCTCATTCGCAAAACAGACAAAATGGCAACTGTACTTACTGAGTGTACCCTCAAAGAACAATGTCCTGTTGAGGTGTGCGTATTCCGATCTAGTCGTATTGTTAAGATTGCAACAGATGCATCCGTGAGGAGGGTGGAGGAGATGATTAGAGGTGACAAGCAAATAACGGTTGACTCTGTAATAGCTGCAATAGGGTGCTCAAATTGTTCAGCATATGGCATATTGCATGATCGATTGAAATTTAAGAAAGTGTGCTCAAGACAATTGACGTAAGAACACAAAATGAACCTGTTAGGCCTGTCATTGCAGCAGTTATGTCGATACGCAGATAAAGGATAAGACATGCTGAAACGAATTATTACTGGGGACGAATCATGGATGCATCACCACGAGCCCGAATGAAAGCGTGTTTCAAAGCCTTCTGTTCTAATATTCAAGGTTACGCCATCAGCAGGGAAGGTTTTGATTACAATGTTCTTAGATTGTCAAGGAGTGCATTTAACCATGTTTTAAAAACAAATGTTATAATGCGAATGCTGATTCATGCTGCAAAGTGTCACATACCGCTCGTGTCGCGTGCCTGATTTAAGGATTTTTCCTTAAGAACCAACAGCACTCTGAAATAATAATGTTGAGGCGTCGGCTCGTATTGGTCTAAGAGATATCCCGTGGCCAATATACGCTCAACTTATTTCAGGAGTAGGGCAACTCAAGCTTAAGAACTAAAGAATATCTAATATTCCTAGGCACATTTGGCTGGACACCTCCACTACTATAAAAAGATAGCTCCCAGGCTATGATAGTATACTATCACAGCCATGTTAACACAGATGAAGATTATTAATTGAACATACATTTACTTTAGACAGCTAAGAACAATGAATGAGTGACACCACAGTCAATAGAAAAACCTTAGAAATACTGTAATAAATTCAACATCAACATGATATATGACTCAAAGGAAGATAAAAAGCATTGGAATATTGCAAGATCAACACTGAAATTCTCTTGACGGACATTGAGGAATCTCTGAGAGGCAGCCTGACATCATCAAGGTGATTTGGCGTGGACCTGTAAATATAGAACACGGCATGACCATAGAGTTCACTACTTATCTGTTCCTATTCTAGGTTGGAGTCACTGCACTTATCAGTTCATGATACTGGAACAGGCTGGCCTTCTGAGAAAGTTCACTTCAATAGTTCATCTGACAGACACAGTCACATATAGATCAAAATTTGGGCTGAACAAGCTCCTGAAGAGGGTGTTCTGTACCGAGGGTGGTCCTGGTGGACTGGAACAACAGCCTTCCAGCCACTGGAACCCACACGCTCCTGAAGAAGGCACACTGATGTGAATGTCAATGGCGCTGCCTGTAAGCAGATGCCTACTCTTTGGCTACCACCTTGCTGTTTGCCATAGTGATGATTTGGTAGTGGGTACGTTTGTGGTTGCTGCTTTGGTAGTGGGCACTTTGGTGGTTGGTGCCTTTCTAGACTGCTGATTCAATGCCTGGCCTCCAAGGAGATATCATCCCAAGCTTAGGAATCCTTCAAAGATTAAACTGGTATTTTGAATGCGCCAAGGTTTAATCAGAGAGTTTAAATGCGTCCCGACACCTCAGAGGTCTGGCAAAGAATGACTCCGCCAGATTTCGCTTGGCGACTCTAGAAAAGAAGTCCTGTATTAGTACACAAGGAGTAAAAAGGCTTTCAGGAATTACGGAATGTTATTCCAGAGAATATCTATCCCACAGTTGTAAGTTTGAAAATGTAGACTTCTCACAACAACTAGAGGGTCTAGAAAGGTTTATTCCACCAGATAGAGGTATATATCAATATGAGGGACTATATACCCACCGGACGGATTAAAATTTGAAAGGTGACCTGCCCGCTAGGGGTGTCAACGTCACGAATAGTCTAAAGTGTAGGGTTTGGTTGTTCACTCCGTGACACAAAGTTCTGTCGATGCTTCATGGTGCAATTCGAAGAAACCATCCAGGCCTGCTGACTAGAGGAGTACTGCTCCTTCCTGACAATGCCAGACTACATACGGCTCGGTTAACTCAGAAGAAAAAATACCCATCTAGAGTGGGAACTTCTGGGACATCCACCTTACAGCCCTGACAGCTAGTCCCTAGCGATTTGCACAAATCCACATGGCGAATGACGCAGAAGTCGAATGTCAAGTGAAAATGTGGCTTAGAAAAAAAGAGCAAAGCAGTTCTACGCAGATGGTTTGGAAGAAGTGATTAATAATGGGACAAGTGCATCAGTATTGTTGGAAATTATGTTGAAAAATAAAGAAATAGTGTATGTGTAAAAAAAAAAAAAAGACGTTTTGAGGTTCTAATATATATATATATATATATATATATATATATATATATATATATATATATATATATATATATATATATATATATATATATATTTCAAACCTTCTGTGACTTACTTATTGACGTCCTGTGGTAATATTTAACAAAAGTGACGTTCACAGCTAAGATACGCACACGACGCAGTTCTTCTTACCAACAGAGTACAGTGCCTAGAGGAATTAGTTCTGACAGTCAAAAGCTACAGCAAAGAGGGAAGATATATTCTTCCTGAATTGGACAAATAATGATGTAACAAGTGAGCACAAGAAGCGGAGACAGCAAGAGCAAAATGAAACTTCAGAGACCTTTACAGTAACACAAGGACTTGGTCGAACAAAACTAGTCAAGGAAAGATACTTACTACCACTAAATATCAAATGGACAGATGATCTGAATATTATGAAATACTTCTAAATAGATCAAAACCAATGGTGCATTTAGAAATGAAACTGGATATAAACTGTGAGATGCCATCTAAAGAGGATATTAGAACAGCTATCAATCTTCTGAAGGAAGAAAAGGCGGCAGATCCAGATGGTATCTTAGTAGAAGCTATTAAGGCCAACATTTAAAAAAAAAACAGCACCGGAATTGCCACATAGACTATTTAGTAAAGTCTAGGAGACGAAGAAATACCAGCAGACTGGAGAAAATGATATCTTGTGAAACTGCCCCCAAAAAGATGATCTACAGGAGGGTGAGAACTATAGAGGAGTTACGCTGAAGTCAGTTTCTGGTAAGGTATTAAGAATGAATATTTTGGAAGACTGAAATATGATATTGATAAAACGCTCAGAGATAAACAGGCAGGTTTTCGACCAAACAGATCTTGTACTGGCCAGATGGCCACATTAGTATAATAATTGAGCAAAGCATTAAACTAAATTCAGCAATTTACATTGGATTTATAAACTATGAAAAAGCTTTTGACAGATTTGATAGAGAATATCTCTGGAAATTAATGGGGCACCATGGAATCCCTCTGAGCTTTTTATCGAAATCATCTTTTAATCTTTCCAATATAATTCTACTTAATATTTTTCCAGGAACTGACAGCAACATAATTCCTCTATAGTTTTCACACTCCTGTAGATTTAGGTTAAACTATTTCGTACCTCAAGTGTGACCAAATCCCCGTCTTGGTTTCAGGGCCTCATTGGGTTAAGACCCTCTGTCCCAAACAAGCATTTCGTAAAAGGTAACTGATTAGGGTGTTTCTGTCAAAGTCAAAGCGTTCGCAGCTGGAATCAACCCGGGTACCTCTGAATTACAAAACATGTTCGCAATGCTGAAGTCACATGACCTCTGAGCCTTTTTCAAAATAGAAAGATACTAGTTTTGGATATCCATGTAATTTTGAGCAAATATATCAATATAATCAATAGAACATGTTGTGACCACTGGAAAGATCTGTGGAAGGAGGGATAGAGGAAGACAACGAGAGAAGATGCTTGACAGTCTTGTTGCATTGCATGGGGGTGTGTCATCACACGAACTGATACATGCTGCAGGAGATCGCAGACTGTGAAGAGGCATGATCGCCAACG